ACAGATTATTAACTACGTGTCCTCTAAAGGAATCAGATGGCGCTTCATACCCCCTAGAGCGCCCCATCATGGTGGACTATGGGAAGCTGCCGTAAAGGGAGTCAAACGTCATCTCTATCGAGTTACTAGAGAGGCGCATCTAAGATACGAGGAGCTAGAAACACTAGTTATCCAAATTGAAGCGATTCTTAATTCGCGCCCTCTCACACCCGTTTCATCTGACGTAGCTGACCTTACGCCACTTACTCCAGGTCACTTCTTAATCGGAGCACCATTGACATCGTACCCTGAACCATCATTGGAAAGGATCCCGATTACTAGGCTCTCTCGTTGGCAACGGGTGGAGCAAATACGTCAACACTTTTGGTAAAGATGGTCAAAGGAATATCTGCATTATTGCCAGCAGCGAAATAAGTGGACAACTAAGGAAAATCCATTACATGTCGGACAGATGGTCCTTCTAAGAGAGGATTCTGCTTCGCCTCTTTCTTGGCCTCTCGCTAGAATCGTCGAATTATATCCCGGTAATGACAACATTGTTCGTACAGTCACGATTCGCACATCGTCTGGCATTTATAAGCGTCCCATTACACGATTATGCGTTCTTCCCTTTGATAGTAATTAAGCTCGTATCATTTCATTAATCTATGCTATTATTTTGTACGTTTGAATTGACGTTGTACGAGTTTATCCTCACTCAAATTCAAAGTTGACGCGTGGGGACACGCCGTAGAGCATGTGTATATGCGCCCTAGTGGCTCCGTGTCCAAAAACGTAAATCATCCGTTTACTTTGCTTTTTAATCCTACATAAAATAGTAAATATACTTATATACATATAAATACACGAAAATTTCTGTTTTCTTATATTACAATTTAAATATTTCAGAAAATCACATATGAAAGAAATACCTGAAAAACGATTATTAACATTGGTTGGTCCAAACGAATGCGCAATTTTAAAGAAATCAAAAAGAGACAAATTCTAAATTCAATTAGGAAGCAAATATTTAAGAGAAAGAATGCTTTGTTATCGACAAAAAAAGAAAGAAAAAATTGTTTTACATAAGGATGAAAGAGAATGTACAGGTAAAAAACTGACTGAAGATTAAAGTAGAGTCCAGGAAAGAGCCGCCAAATAATCATACAATTCTTGGTTAGCGTGTTTTAGAGTTGACAAGTTATCAGTTGCGTTTCCTAAATTGTAAATACAGATGAATAAGTTCACACACACACACACACACACACACACACACACACACACACACACACACACACACACCCACACACACACACACACTCTCTCTCTCTCTCTCTCTCTCTCTCTCTCTCTCTCTCTCTCTCTCTCTCTAACGATATTTTATTATATTCTACAGTAAAATAAGAGAACAATTAAATAGAATAAATAAAAAATCATTTTTTATTTTAAACCCCTTCTCTACCAAACTTTGTGAAAACTGAAAAAAAAAAATAAAAACTGATAAACACCGTTAAAATCGTAATTTTTTCGGTTACGGTTTTCTTGAAGCTAGTCAAGAAACCGAAACTGAAACCGGAACATTTATTTGATGTTTCATTAAACCGGAATCGGAACCGAATCGAAAAAACCTTTCGGTCCGGGTCCCTGGTAAATAGTAACCAAATGCTGTTGTAGAAAGAAAATAATTATATAGAAAATAATTTGTAGATATTCTTACAGCGGAATTACAGCAGAGAATTTGTGTAATAAAGCAGAAAATACCTAACCGCACTTACGTGTTCGTATATTCTATGCCATCGATGTGACAGATTCCCTAACGATCGTACAGATCGCAGAGATCGATATTTATTCTAACCTCACTTCCGTATCGTCTATGCCATCGATGTGACGGAGTTCCTAACCTCAATCCTATGTTATTGCCGAGGCACTTAATAATCCGACTTTAACGATCGTACAGATCGCAGCGATCGATACTGTCGCGACCACATTTTATCTTTCGCGCCAAAAATTCCAGAATCCATTTCCTCTCTCCGTAGCTGACGACGACGACGACGTTTCTTACAAACAAACCCATTTCATCGACGGCGAACATCTAGACACTTACTTCCTCCAAGGCAAACACTTAGACACTTTCTTCCTCGAAGGCGAACACTTAGACACTCTCTTCCTCGAAGGCGAACACGTAGACACCCACTTCCTCGACGGTGAACACCTAGACACTCCCTTCCTCGAAGGCAAACACGTAGACACCCACTTCCTCGACGGCGAACACCTAGACACTCACTTCCTCGAAATCAAACACGTAGACACTTATACTTTCTTGACGACGTACATATCTCTATAATTCGATATTTCAATTTTTATATTTATATAAATAATAATAAATATTTTGTATTATATTGAATAATATTTTTAATTATAAGAATTAAATCGCGCGCGCGTCGTATGTGATACAGCATGCAACACTGGTCTGCTGGTTAGATATAGATAGATAGAGTGAGATAACACATAAAGTCAAAGGCCCTCTATTATCGGAAAAACGAGATAGACATTTCTCCCATTTCTCCCACCACTCCCCTGGTCGACGACGTATCTTAAAAATTGAAACGTGAAAATTTACAGATCCGGACTTTGCGTCGCGATATCTCCGCTCGTAGGGCACGTAGAAAAAAAAAATGAAAGCACTTTTATCATACAATTTAAGTAATTGCTATCGATTAAGCGTATGTAGAACTGGATCGATTCAGCCGTTACTGAGATCTGATCATCTCGACCCCGAAAAATTCTCAGTTTCGCGTAAAGGAGGCACGGCAGTGTCACGCACTTGGCTTAGCGCCAAGACACTACCGTGTCTCCAGATATTAATTATAAACACATATAAAGCTTTGTGAACAGCGTGTTCCGGAATAGGATAAGTTTCGCGCTACAAAGCCGAATAAAAAGATTGATTGCGTCATCCATCGATTCCGTCCGTGAATCTTTTCGTCGCACTCACCGCGCCGTCTTGCGAACATCTAATTACTACAATTTAGCCGCATATTTGGATACCGATGTCGCTGTCGTCCTGCCGATTCGTCGCGCTAATCGCGCAGCGCGATTCTACCCTCAGACACAAATCAGTGCTTGTCGTGATAACTCGTGCGGCAAGATTCGTTGTCTCATTAATCTCAGAAGCAATTCAGCACTTGCCGTGACAAGTCGTTGTTCTCTCAAATTCGTTAAAAGCAGCAGCTTTCTTTCTACGTGTTCGCTACCGCGACTCGTTATTCTGTACATCTCATCACGGCTACCGTTGTGGATGAGCACCGGTGTATTAACCACCGTTAATCGTTTCTCTCGCCGTGCCATGCGAATAACACTACGTCTATCTGTGTGAATAAAATTTGCATATAACAAGTTAAGAAGAGTGCTCAGTGTTCTCACACCGTCCAGTTCACCAATCCATCCCGTCACTCGAGATCTCAGTCGAGATCGAAGCAGCGATTTTACACCAGTGATGCACATTGGGGTCCCAGCACGCCGCGTTCGGCTTGACTCGGCTAAGAG